TCCATGTTAAAATAAGTGTCCTAAAAGTTGGTTAGGCACATTAATGTTGCCCTGGAAGCCTGTGGATACAAACAAAGTGAATCAGAGAATTGAGACTATTTAAATTCAATGTCATTCAAAGCTTGTAAAGTCCTGTAGATGTGTTCCTATGAAAGAAATGCAGTGGAGTAAACATACAAATGCTTCCCTCTGAAAAATGTAAAGCAGAATCAAAATAAATCCAATCAAGTAACTTGGAAGAACCTTGAACTGTATTCAAGTAAATTCTAAGTTGCATTAAACCTTCTAAATCTCCCTCAGCATCAATAAAGTATCTGTCGGTCTGTGGAACCAACAGGACTCCCAGGAACCAGAGGAAACAACATGTACGTCTCATCCACTGACCGCAGACTTCTGCAGCTCCCAGATGCACAGTGGCAGGACCACCAGCAGCAGCAGGATGTACAGGACGACGACCAGCGGCCGGATCCACCTCCTCCAGTTCCCGCAGGAACACGGTATGTTGCACATCGAGGCCTCTGGAGCTGGCCCGAGGCTCAGCGGCACAAACAACTTCTTCTTCGCCGGTGTGGAGGGACCCTGCTAACGCTGCTCGTTAGCTTCGCATTACAGTCACACTCCCAGCAGATCACCGTGAACCACAACAACCGCTTCACCGTTAATGTGCGTCAGCTCGTCCTCTGACGTGAAGTTTCATTCATGAAGACAATTGAACAGCTCGCGTGACTCGGTCCCACTAAGCTAGGCTGCTAACGCTAGCTCGTCAGCTGACTCCATGTAAACAAACACAGAGCGAAGACCCGCGGCGGCTGAAACGTTTGAGTCTCTCGGTTTCTAACACGAAGTGATGAAACAAGAGTGTGACACATGGACTGACTTGTCAAACACGTGGTCAGTGTTTAATATTCAAGCTTTGTTTGCGTTTGAAGGTAAAAGTTTCCAGAAAACTAATTCCTGTTGAGTTGCTTCTTCCGGTTTACCGCGGAATAGCCACGCCCACTACTCGTTCTTCCGCTGCTGTTAATTGGCGGTTGGTAAAGCCCCGCCCATATCATTGAAGCTGATTGGTTTGTTTGGAGGAAGTCGACGTCATAAACAGGAAGTTAGGTTTACCTGCGTCTCCATCGAGCACAAAAACTAAGAAGTGAAAGAGCTTCAACTCTTTCCCCTGAAGCTGCTGACTTTGCACATGTGCCTCAGCTTCGTATAATTTTCTTTGTATATTTACACATATAAAAATATTTTCCCCTCATATTTTCATCATATGTTTTTATTCTATATGTACAAATACCATGTTTTACGACGTTACCCCTGATGTCAAAGTCAACTCTATGGTCAATTCTGCCATATGTGCAGGAGACAGACGGGATAAAAATGCTGTTTCCTCTGATAACCCTGCAAACCTATAGGTAGACAGAACATATAAGTACACAACATAGTAAGTACTCAAAACATAGTACACAGTAAGACATAGTATATATATACATAAGACACATGTTGGACAGGATGAGGTTGGACAGGATGAGAGTAGTGCAAACTGGAATATTGCAAAAATAGATTAAGAGTGCAAAGATACTTCATCAGAAGTAATGTAATTTATTTATGTTATAAATAGCAACAGTTGTAGTCTGATATAAGTATTTACAGGAAAAAAAGGGGGGGGGGGGGGGTGTCTGTGTATATATCTGTTTTTATAATTTAAAATAATGCGTTCTTACTAACCACAATGCATGCACGCCACAGAAACTGGGCTTTCGCCACCAGATGGCAATGTAAATTAACAATTATTATGAAACCAATCCAAACACTTGTGTAGTAGCAGACAGTGGGTTGAAAAACGAGGAGTAGGTTGTTTCTTAAACTGTCTCAGACCTCATGGACTTTTGTTTGGTTTGTTAATGAAGCAGAGTTTTCTCATGGCCTACATTTCATATCATTTGCTTTAACCAAGGGGCCAAAAACTTGATTTGTCTGCAAAATGCCATATTTGACTTGTCAGTGAGTGTTTATTGATATCATCCAGAGGTGTTAATTACCTCTGCAAAAGTTGTTCCATTTGTTTTTTTTGTTTGAGATTACCCAAAATCTCAGATTTTCATGAAACTTGGTGGAAGGATGGAACGTGGGCTAAGAAAAACCACATACAATTTTAATGGGGATCTGGAGAAAGGGACAGATCAAAGATTCTTTGTAAAGACTATTGGGCATTAGCGGAAGTTTGTGCTCCACTGAATGCCACTCTTGTATTTTGTTTTTAAAATTCAAAAGATATGTGTCTTTATTTACATAGACCTGTCTAAGACTGAACTACAAGGCAATAATCAATGAATCAATTTCGTGATTCTGCTGCCTTGTTTACATTTAACCTCAACAGGGATGTCCAGAAGTCTTGATCATGTTATAAATTAAAAAGATGAAGTCTATCAATAATAAGTCTGGTTTCCCAGGCATGTGCAATATTTTTCTTTCATTCAAATTAACAATTGAATTAAAAAGAATCTCACACAAGTATGTCTGTGTGTCTCCCTGCAAAATGAGGGGAGGCAGAACTTTCCTTTCTATTGCACCATGTCTCCACTGCCCCACAGTCACAGAAATCACCGGTTGTTGCAGGACAGATTGTTCATGAATTTTGAATTGATCCTTTTGGCTTTTATGAATTAGAAATGGTCTTTGCCACAAGTCGTGCAAGCGAGTGTCATGGTGGATAGCTTGGAGGGATTGCCAAGCAAAGTGGCATACAGGGTACAACCATGTTAAGGCAGGGTAGATAAACATATGCTGTGTTTGATCAGAGCCAAAACACATTTTAGAATAAAGGATGTGGCGTCCATCACTTCTGCTAAATCACAGCCAAAACCGTAGGGTGAAGCAGCTCGTACTCTACGCGCCTCACAGGAAAAGATGAGCAGAATGGATCGGTCGGAGGAACAATAATAATCAATGCACAAGAAAAGAAGAGACATACTGTCTGATTCCCGAGATATAATGTATCAGCCAAAGTGCACCTCCTTTGTCAGAGTAATACACAAGTGTGCGATTGTTCAACAATGACTTATTTATCTTAATACGTCTGCCATAGGCTTCTGTGTCAGGAAATGTTCAGACTCACTGAGGGCTGTTCACTTCAGTTCATCTGCTCCTGAACAACACCGCAAGTGAAGATGGAGTTGAAGAAGCTCCACGGAGTCAAACAGCATCGAGAGTGAACATAGGAGTCATAGTTTTACATCAGGTCACTCTGAGCCTCTTTAAAAGATCAGGCTCCTAATATTCTAGATATTTTTACTATCAACAAACCAGTATTGAATTGACATGTATTACCTGCTTATCCAAAGCTTAATAGAACTGAATCCTTTGTATAAAACACATGAGTGAGTGACTTGATTGAGATGTAATGTATACATGTAAATATAATAAGTTCATTAAGTCACACTAGGGACCTGAGCTGCTGAGCCCGGGCTGTTAACTTCACGTAACTTTGCTTAACTGGCCTGGTTTGATTAAGCAAATTGTGAATTTACTAATATGCACTACATAGGGAAAGCCCCTCAGCTTGTTTGCTGCTCTGTATTTCCTGTCTGCAGAGGCTGGACCTGATGGCCTCATGTGCACCATGTGTCAAGGCCAGAAAAGCAGCCAGCTCAGCTGAGATCTGCTCTTCTCACGCAGGCCTTTAGCTTTTCAGCTTTTGAGGCTTTTTGTTCTTACCCTCATTCATCCACTCTCTGTGTGCATCACACTATTTTTTGGCAGTTCTTGTAATTAAATTGGTGTAAACATTTATTGTTCAGCATACTTGTGAGACTAAAGTTTTTGCCAAAGTCTGAGGGTATAAGCGCTAGAATATGATAGCAAAGTCTTTAAAGAAATACTGTGAGGAAACATATCTTCCTGACAATGACTTGCAGCAGAAAGACTTTGATATTCAAGACTTTTCTTTATTTCTAAATGTAAGGATTTTAGCAAGACATCTTGTGAAGCAACCTCCATTGTCTTTGCCTCGGACACTTTAACATACTTAGAGTAAACAAATCTGAGTTAGCTCCGCATTGAGAAGCACCTTGGAGCCTTGAGAGCCTCTTATTTGTTTTCAAGCTTTATTCAATTCACTGCTGGCAAGGAAAAGCGGTTCCCACCAAATTCCACAGAAATAAAACTGCGCTGTGTTACTCTTCCTCACTTCCTCTCACACACTGGGACTGTTTACTTCCCAGAAACACATGAATGTTTTCCCATTATGTTTCATCTGAATGTTAAAATATGTTTTGCTTCATTTTCAATCCTCTGTGTCATAAAATTTTGAAATGTTGTATTTCATCAACCCATCTTTTGACCCAATCAGTGATTTCACATGAGGAATATGTTTCATGAAGTTTATGACCAGGATGAGATTTATCACCAACCAGCTGCAACAAATAACAGGCTTTAGCCAGATAAATGTGCTGTTGGTTTTGGGTGTTTCTCAGCTTTGTGAATTGAATTGGTCCCTTTTTGAGTTAGCCAATGCAAAACAAGTGTAAAATAAACACTTGTTCCAGTAAAGAAAGTTCAAATATGTTTGTGTTGCTTTAAATAAAGTTCCAATGTCATTAAAACTATTACATCAGCAATCCCTTACCTAGTGACCATTGTGTATATGACAAACATCTTGAATCTTGAATTATGACATTGTATGTAAGCAAAACATGCACATACAAACCCGTCACATCAAAGCTGAGACTTAAAACGGAGTTAAGTAACGCTCAAACTCTTGTTTCCTCGATACTCTATTAGCAACACAGATGTGAAGTGAGTTCGCATATCATATTCCCAGCGACCGAGTTGGTCACATCCTCTCCGCTGACATTAGCAACCCTGAGGGCTCAGTTGCCAAGCAGGTCACAGCGAGCGTCAAATCACTCCCAGACGCAGATGAAAAACAGAGGGGGCCCCAGTGGCTTTTCTGGAGTAACTGACGTTGGTGCGACGGTGAAATGAACCTCTTTGTTCACAGTGGATATGGAAAATGGATTTATTGGTAGAAGCAGCAGCACAAACACGAGGTTTACATGTTAAATCAAAGGCAACAAACATACGAATTCCATCTTCCACAGAGTAATGTGTATGTGTAACGTATGTATGTTGATGGATAGTGGTAAAATAATACTGTACAGATATCGCTTAGTCTTATGTACACAAATGTGTGCAAAACACCCCACAAACAAAGAAGTGGAACACACACACACACACTCGCATGTTCAAATGCACACAGGTTTACATGTATTCACATATCAAACATTATAAGGCAGTATAGTTGAACATGATTGCCACACAAAGAACACTTATAATTTCCTGTACTTACTTTCTTGGATGAGTTGAGGAGACTGACATTGTTTTCATTTCTGCGGGTTAAATATAATGCTAGAGCTAGCAGCAAGTTAGCTGTCAGCCAAGATACAGACATAAACCCCACCAATAGTGATCGGTACGTTACACAAAGCTCTAACTAATTACTATGTTATTACATTAATTAGTTACTTAAAGGTGTGTAAATTTAGTGACATCTAGTGGTAAAGTGTCATGTTGCAGCTGAATACCCCTCTCCTCCCCCTCCTCCACCAAACATGACAGAGAACAAGTGGTGGCTTCAGTTTTCATAAAAACTCAAAAGGTGTTTAGTTTGTCCAGTCTGGGCTACAGTAAAAAACATGGCTGCCTTCATAGAGAGGACCCACTCAATGTAAATATAAAGTATTTAAATATAAAGAGCCCGTTCTAGGTCAAAGAAAACAAGAATTTTTACTATCTGATGAAACATTTTATATTTATATTGAATTTCTGTCAGTAGATCCCTTTCACCTAAATCTTACACACTGGACCTTTTAGTGAACCCCCTGATACACTACCAGCCTCTACATGTGTCCCAAACTGCCAAAGTGAGATTAAACAGATCAGACTTCATCCATTAGCGTAAACCAAGAAACGCAAAGTGACAAATTGTAAGTTTACCACCACCATTAAAACTCATCCACCTCTGTCATTACATAATTGGATAAAATACTTATCATTACAGCAATATAACACTTTATAAAAGTGGACACTATACATATATATATATATTCCATGGCTTATACATGCACAATTAGCCTATTGTTGTAGTATAGTAAAATTCACAGTGCTATTAAAAGATCATTCCTGTCCATTTTTGGTGAATGGTGATACCAGACCTGTCATAATGCATTACTACATATTTATCATTTGCTTGACCTGTGCTATAAAAACACAGAGTTGAACCTTATCTGCTATACAAACAGTCCTGCACTTTTCTAATTTTGTGCCAGTGAACTGTTTTTGATCATATTCTGGCACTGACGTAGTTCCAACAAGTCTTCTAGTCAGAACAATTGTAGTTGGCCGGATGTCGTTCGTCCCAAGCAGAGGCCTCCTGGACCTTCTTACTCAAAGTCGTAATAATAAATATGCAGTCAAGCTTATGGAATGGTCACTGCATGGTTAGGTTAAAGAAAACACGATGGTTTGAGTTAAGGTTATTCCTTATGGTTGGAGGACCTTTGGCCTCATGGTTACAATAATAAACATGTGATTGAAGTTGAACAATAGTGGATAGAAGAAACAATCCTGACCAAACAAAGGTCCATCGTGTGAAGGTCTCGTGTTTTGTGGCTCCATCCGTCCAAATGTGCATAGAACTGAAAATCAATTGTTCCCATTAGGCTCATATGTTGCGTCAGTGGTGGACGTTGGCTGAAAAAGTACTTTTTCTTAACTGCTTGCGTCTTAAAAGCATCTTGGGGAAATGGAAAAGCTTGAAAACATAAAAGTCCTCAGGCAATTGAATGATTCAGTTGCTGTCTTTCCTGATGCTGCGGTCGCTGAACAGGTTGTTGGGCTCGGGGCTCTTGCACTGGATACTGGTGCCGTTCATGGGACCGATGCTGCTCTGCTGGTTGTCAGAGTAACACCAGCAGCACAAACATGACTTGAAGAAAATGCAAAGAGAAAAAAAGAAAATGCATTTTAAGGGAAAAGTTTTCCTTTTCGTGAAATACACTATTTTACATTCTTGTTGTTGTTGGGAGTTCGATGAGAAGAAGATGGATACCACTTACTCATCCATTGAAACGGTTACTTGTAGGTTTTTCTTTTGACTCCCCCCACCTCCCTCCCACAACTTGTGTAACGTGCAACAAGAGACATGGTTTATCTCCAGCTTAGGTTCTTTTGACAGATATTTGCAGTGTGTGACCTCTGCCAGTAAAGTGAATACATGAATCAAAGGGCTGCTTTTACACGGAATGCCATCACAACTTCTGAGTCATAGCCTGAGTTCACTGTTTTCTTTACAGGCCAGACTAAATCCAAAGGCTTATTAAGAGATGTGTGTGTGTGTGTGTGTGTGTGTTTGTGTTATGTCATGTCCCTCTCTTGTAGGGAAGTACTATACCTTGAAGCAGTTTTTAAACTTCTTGCTCACAAAGTAGAGGATAATGGGGTTTATGCAGGAGTTGATGGTTGCAAGGTTGATACCAAGGTAATCCAGGACCAAAAGGAAACTGTAAAAAGAAAATATTAGAAAGATTGATTATACTTATTCTTATTCTATATCAGGTGTCATATCTTGTACATTTAAGAGTGTTGTTCTACCAGGAACTCACTTAAGCAGCTCACAGCGCGAATTATCATTCTGGTAGTAAACCGTCTTCTTTAGGATCCTGCTGAGGTGCAGTGGAAACCAGCAGAGGGCAAAGATGAGGACGAGGCAGAAGACAGCTTTGGCCACTTCCCTTCTCTGGTGATGAAAAGAAAAGAGCAAATGTAATGGAGAGTTAGACAGTTATTGATTACACACTTAGCCAGTGTGTATCCATTTTACACATCGAAAATGTTAATGTCCTTTTTGTGAACTTAATACCTGACACAATTTTGGTTTTCCAGAGCTTATTTAGAAAATAGAAAATATATTGTTTTCACCTCTTGTGTGTCTGGCGTGTGTGTGTGTGTGTGTGTGTGTGTGTGTGTGTGTGTGTGTGTGTGTGTGTGTGTGTGTGTGTGTGTGTACTAAATAATTCAACAACGCTTAACAGGTTGGTGGGAATATCTCGAAGGTCAAGGTCAGGTTTAAAAAAAAAGCTTTCCAAGACAAAACATTTATCTTTAAGCTTATATCGTTCAGAAATTATTACTCATCATTTAATGTCATATAATAATCGACCTTACAATGACATTTAAGAAATTAAGCCGTTATATGTATATTTCCAGACATTTCTGCATACATTAATTCTTACATAGATTGAAAAAAATTCTGATCATATGGTAGATAAGACATCATCATAACTTCCCTATGAAGTCAGAAAGTGACATCATATATGCATCAACCTTTTTAACCAATAACATTAGAGATGTGGTCTGCAGATCTACATCATTATGGCATTATTATAAAAAAGTTTCCACTGCCTGATCGTGGGGCAACAGGGTTTTCATCATCCTTGAGAAGAAGTATTGCCCCACCTGTTTGAGGTGCTCACTGAGAGCGATCCGCAGGCTGCCGTTCCTGTGGTTGAGCATCTCGCTGGTCATCAGAGTGTAAAAGATTCCAGTGCAGGCGAGCGGGACACAGAAGTAGAAGCCAAACAACCACCAGTCCTTTGCATCCTTGTAGAACTACAGGGACAAGCACATGTGACGCATTAAATCACAATAGATTGAAATAAAAACACAAATTACAGTGTGAGCAGGTCGATCACACATCCTCTGTGATCCTCTTCTCCTTCCATAAAACTCCTCCACCTGCCCTGCATCAAATTTTAAGAACTCAATAAAACCTTCTCTTAATTTTCTGTAATTGACAACTTCCCACATGTGACTCCTCTTGCACCTAAATCTGTCTATGGAGTCAGGAACTCTCTATAAAATGTGTCAACTGCTACTGATGTACGGTAAAAATGTGATGTTGGAAGTAGGCGTGAACCTGAAATGATCAGACCAAGAATCTGCTTTTGTAATTGAACCTGACCCGGACCTAAACCACTCCCAGACTACCCCTGTACTCCAGTGCGATTGAAGTGAATAGACTGGTTTTAATTGCTTTGTACGTTTGATGAGGCCATCTGGAAGGTAAGTATACGCTTTAAAAACAGCACAATTTCAAAACCACACAAAGTGACTGAACCTTTTTACACAAGATAAATGTGTAAAGCAAAAACAAAAATTCAGCTGATCAACTCTGAACTTTGGCTTCATGTGAATTGTGCCAAAAAGAGAATTGGTGAGAAAATCTAGTAAAGTAGACCAACCCCTATTTCATTTCAATCAAATAATACTGTTAGGAGGCTTATGTTTCTCAAACATGTTTATCTTATACAGAGAAATGTAAGACAGAGTGGGCCAGTGGAGTGCATATGGAATAGATATGCACATGTGGCTCAGCTCGAGGCCTCAGATTTCAGACGGGTAATTGCACGTGGCCTGCAATCAATTATGTGCTCTGAAGATGTTAAAAAGGCCACCGCCGCTAAGAGAGTAAATAGACCCAGATTATTTCTTAAAGGAACACTCCCCTCAAAATCCTCTTAGTGTCAAATTCTCATCTCCTTACTTGAAAGGTGAATTTGGGCCGGAGTGACAAGTCCTGAGGTATTCACATTTTTTTTAGTTTTAAAATATTTATGGCCCAAGCAGGAGATTTACAGGTGATTGTTTTGGCTGTCATACTGAGACTCTAAAAGTATACGGCCCTGTAACCAAAATAGCACATCAGTGCGCCATTTAAACACTCAGAACAAACAACACACGCTTTTAAGATTATGGAAAAATTCAGCTGAACGTGCACTTTCACTTTGAGTCCTCCTCATGCAGCTGGGTTTCCTATCTCAATAGTCCTGTAATGTTTTGTCTCTTTATTCCCAGAATCAACGACTGTTCTGAAGTGTACTTTGACACAATGTGCTGTACAGCACATCATGGCCTGAATACAAGCAAAACAATGACTCATAGAAAAAAAACTGGAGGAAACTTTGGAGGACGTGAGCGTACCATCATGAAGTTAGTTGTGGGGTTCATCATGCAAGTGCGTAAGGTTTGATTCCTGTAGTTGAAGGGGACAATGTCGAACACGATGGCCTCCGGTACCGCCAGGATGAGCGACAGCAGCCAGATAGACACGATCTCAATGACAGTGAACAGAGGGATGCCCACGCCCTGCACTCTGCTCCAGGAAGCCACGGCTCTGTACCTGTGAGACAGAAACATTTATATTCAGTGTTTTAGTTTATGAAAAACGGTGTGAAGATTACCACTATTAAGTCCATTATATAGAGTGAGATCGCCATAGTGCTGTTCGAATGTTCTTTTACTTCTTCAATTATTTAAAGCTGTCTCAACTTCCTGATATTACTCCGAAAGTTCAAATTTATCTTCTAAGAAGGTTTTCACACTGCAAACAAACATATCCACGGAGAGATCTGCTCTTTTGGTCGGACTAAAGTTTGGTCTGTGGGCCTACGCCATCGTCCAAGACAACTCCTTGTATAATATCCAGATTAATTCTGAAGGTCCAGACCAAACAAGACAGATGGGAAAGTGCCGTTAATGAGTCAGATGAAAATGACTGGAGGCTAATGCAGTAAATATCATTTTGTGCAGTTCTTCAGAGCTACAATTAAGACATTTTAAATTTGAAAGCATTAAACCCAATAAGTTATCACCATGATATTAATATGACGTGAATAAAGAGACCCCTCTATTAATCAGAATCAGTCTACAACAGCCACTTGCTTCCAGCTGCTTCTTTAAACAGAAACCAGTAAACTCATCATTTTCCTTGTCTCTTGACTGACAAAGCCAATAACATTTCCCGTTTGTGAGGCAGCACAAGCAAACACAGCAAACTGCTCAGTCAGCAAAGTATATCAAATGTTAAGAATTAATGACGAGAGATGATCAATTGTTTATTTTAAATATCTAATATTTATATTTCTGTGAAGCCTCCAAACAGACTGGCCCATGTTGGCAGAGAGGTCTGTGTTGGCTTGTGTTTCCCATGCACTCAGTACTTGTTTGCCTGTTTGTTTCTTTAATGGAAACCACTTGTCGAAATGTTTTAGTAAAATCCTGCATCAAGATTTTATGGCAAAAACAATATATTTTTCATGACACATTTGAATTTCTCTGTTGAACAACATGGCGGCATTTATATTTTACTAAGTGGTAATGTATCCACCTTTTTTCTCTTCCTCCAATGATGAAAAGATACAAAAGAGTCTCACAGGCAGAGATATGCTATATACACATTTCCTGGAAACGTGTGGCCTTGAACGCAGCTCTGCAGCTTTGCAGCTTTGCAGCTTTGCAGCTTTGCAGCTTTGTAACTTTGCAGCCTTCTTCTCCTCCTCTCTAATAGAGCTCATTATATCTCTGCAGGGTTAAATCTGAGCATAACAGAAGGAGCCTCTTATCTCTAAAGTTGTGTCTAGTGCATAAAGTGAGATGACACTGAACTTCAGCACTTCACCATGATTATTTATTCATTAGGGAAATTCTATTAAGGCACTATTAAAAAATTAACTTGTCATTATACTTGCTATCAAGATGGAGTTGTTGTTATCAAGTTCATATTGGTACAGCGTCCACTTTCTATTATACACTTATTGTTGTCCACAAAATAGTTCCACTCAACAATTAAGGAACAGATCTTAAAGGAGAGGCAGATACTGAGGCAACAAACAGATAAGAACTAACTTTCCAATGAACAGTCACAATGGTTATTGATCTTTGTTTCCCGGAAATAAAATATTTATTCATTCTTTTGGTATGAACCAAACTCATAAGAAAAATTATATTAGACAAAAAACTGTTGTGAGACATAACAATCTGAAGTGAGGCTCTCTCTCTGTCTCTCTCTGTCTCTCTCTGTCTCCCTCTCTTGAGACTTGATGAATTGGCAGTGCTCGTTGGCTGAATCTGACTTGTTTAATTTTCTTCCCAGCGATTTGACTGGACTGCCTCCTTTAGTGTAATCAAATTTGCTTGTGTAATATTTGTTTCCTCAAACATGCTACAAAACCATGTATCCAAGTGGAAATCTGCCGACTCGATGAGGATGGGAAAACCGATATATGGTTAGTTATGGAGAAATATTGAAATCACAAAAAAAAACTACTTTTTGTTATTAAATATTTAATACTCCTTCCTATCTGTGCAATTTCATGCCTAATGTGCATCTCAACCCAGCTCACTCTAACTGACAAACAACAAACGTGTACAAAACCCATCATAGAGTTTTGCTGGGACCTCACTTGTGTATTAAAAACCTTTATGCTGGTCCACCTCTGTTAAAGCTCTTCCTGTGACTAATGGTGAAGCAGTGTGGAGGATGTTGTCACTGACCTGTCCACGCTGAGGGCACACAGGTTGAGAACAGTGATGCCCACAGAGGCTTTCTGCAGGAAGGGCACCAGCTTACACAGACACAGGCCGACAACGCTGTCGTCAAATGGCCAACGTGACGCCAGGAGCTGGTGAGAAAACAACATAATGTTCAGGTCAACACAAATCCCAACAGAATTACTCTGTTCTTCAACATTGACCATCGATCACGTTCATATCGTTACTCTGTTTGTTGGTTTGTGATTATTGGGAAAAAGAAGAAGACATAACCTTTTGGTGTAGATTCTTTATCACTGTGAGATTCTTCAACATTTTCATAATTTTTCATTTTTTTTAACCTGGTTGGGTTAGTTGATGCATCACCTCAATGTAAATAATGATGTTATGAAAGTTTTCAGGGAGCTGATTATTAATCTCATTTTTGATACTGAATTCATGTTGACCATCGTTAAGATCTGCGTATGTAAGACGATGTTACTGTGGACTGAGGCGCTTCTCAAGGTCATCTAAACGTCATCGAGAATTTAGTTGGACATTAACTTTGAACAACTTCTGCTGAAGTTTCTCATTTCCTGCTAACTTAAAGCTCTCAGAACCTGCAACTAAACTTTAATGATAATTATTCAGCATATTGTCACTAGTATCTAAAAGCCACTTCCACAACCTCTCATTATATTACTTCCTTAGTAAAATAAGTCAAGGCCATGTGAGTAGAGGTTTTTGTTTTGCGTCAGAGCGGCCTTGGCAATTTTCCTTCAAAAGGATACAACCTGCGTTGAACAAGTGTCTCTGGGCCGAACCCAAAGGAAGAACTTTATGGTCCTTCCTGGCCCTATAATGTTTACCCGTTCAGTTTCCCAGGAGGTCAGAAGAGGAGCCCACGCCATTGTTTTTAAGTATAAGTAGCAGATTATTTTTGGAAACACTGTCACTGCCCTGTGGAAGTGCACAGGAGGCTTCAGGATGGTTGCAGCATTGTAGACGTGGCTCTTTCTTTGTTTGTGCATAAACTGTTGCCCCATGGTTTTTGTTTCCTCTTTGCACATGTGCAGCTGGAACTACAAAGTCACTGTGCCCTCAAAGTCCCCCAGTTAATTTTAACCAGGTGGCTTTATTATTGTTCCGCTGTGAAATGGAGTCCCATAATGAACTCACAACATCAGATTGACTGATCCCTATATTTAGCAATCAGTGTTGATTATTACACAAAGCGTGACACTGGATACTGGTGTGAATCAACACAAGACAGGAACCCTGAGAACAATACATCATCATTAGATAACATTTATTATTTGAAGGAAAAATCTGTGGTAAAGGAAAACAAAAGAATTTCTGATCGTGATTGAAGCTGTAAACACAGGACTGAAATAATTACCCTCCACATCAGAGGTTGGGTTTTTGTCTGCGTTTGTTTGTTTGTTACCAGGATTAAAACTACTCGATGGATTATCTTGAAACTTGGTGGAAGGTTGCGTTTTTGTTCAGGGAAGAAACCATTATATTCCGGTGTGGATCCAAAACTTTCTTTAAAATTGCAACATGTTTTTTTTTCAACATTTCACAATTTTCCCAGGGAACAATTGGAATGAATCTTGAGAAGAAAATCACACACGTTTATGGGACTGATATTTATGAAGGTGGGCAATTTGGTGAAGATCCAAATAAAAATCTGGATCTAGTGGATTTTAATGCGGTATCAAATAGGATTAGAAACCTGTAACTATCTCCAGTGTGTAGCTGAGAAACATAATGTGGCCATAGCTATAAGGTTTGGTTTAATTCAAGCGGTCTGTTGGTATACGCTCTACTGAATGCAGTCCATGTTCAAACTCAATCTTATTGACTAACTACGACGATCGATGGGGCTCCCATGAACAACTAAGTCAAAAACTCCTCACATGATTTATCACTTGAGGAGCAGTAGAGTATTTCCGAAAATAAAACTAAGATAAGCGACTAATGTCTCAGGTCAGCACAAGGCCACTGGCATGTGTGACTACAGCCTGATCCCTTTGTTTACTCAAGCCGGCCGTATCCCTGCTCCTCTCATCACTAATCTGCTCACACCCCGAAGATAACCCCGTCTGACTGATTACACTTTCCCGTCTATTTGCTCCCTCACTTACACCCCGCCCCCATTTTCCCGTCTATACTATCCCACTTTTAACTTTGCCTTTCATTTCAGTTGTTGCTGCTTTTCACTATATCAACACAGAGACCTGTCACTTAGCAGCAGGGCTGTGAAAGGAAGGTTAAAACTTCACGTAAACATGCACAATGGAGTGAAAACTGTACCTTGTAAACATTGATTGGTATATCAATGAAAATGTAGATGAGGTCACCCAGTGCTAGGCTGGCGATCAGGGCATTGGGCCCATTCCTCATGCACTTATTGCGGTAAATAATCCTCAGCAGGGTGGCGTTTCCAATCAGGCCGACTGCGAACACTATCACGGAAATCGTGGTGTTGATATACTTAAAGTAGTCCTTAATAGAAGTAATTTGCAGGCACATCGGAGGTGGTACCGGCCTCTTTACCACAGTCTCATTGGCAGAGGGGGATGAATAGGCCCCCAGGCCCCACTGATGGAGCCCTGGGTCCGTGCTCGGACTGACGGTGCTGTAGGTTCCCAGGTCCGTCTCGGCTTGAGCTCTGTTTATCTGGCACATTCCTCTGGCTGCCATACAGGCCATTAGCACCAACATATGTAGAGCTGCGTTGCCCATCGTGGAACACAGTCAGCGCTTTGATTTCACTGATTGAAATGCAGTCCCAGTATATCTCTGGTGAGGAAAGAAACAAAACAAACAAGAGGAAGAGTTGGTTATTTTTCAGAGAACACATGGAAATCCCGCAACCATCTCATCTCCACTTAAATACAACCAAAGTGGAGCATTACATGTCAGTTTAAAAAAAAGTTTGCGAGCATAACTGTCCCTTTCAAACATTGCGAGGAAGTTTAAAACTTCATCAAGACTTCAGAGCGGTTTTACGGAGGCGGCAGAGACGGGAGATGCCTGGACAGTGTGACAGCGAGGACGAAACATCAGCACAAGCACAAAGGGCATCTTCTCCGCTCTCAGCCTTTGCTGGAGGACTTCAGTTCTTTGTGTTGCTTCTCTCTCTCAATAATGTTGCAGCTATACAAAAGGCTTCATGTGTGCCCGTGCTGCTCCGACCACGAGTCCCAGCTGTGGGTTTACAACTAGATGATTTCCTCACTGTTGTATTTTCCCATCTGTTTCCAATTTAGAGAGGTTGAAACATGTTGTTTGAAAATAAAGCGCCTTTTCTTGCTTGGCTGCGGGGTCGATTTCCAGTAAAAATATGCAATGCAAGATTATAGACTACAAAAGACAAAATACTGACAATTCATCTGAATGCTTAGTTTATACATTTCTTCACCTTTTGCTGCCTCTTATCAGGAACAAAATCAACAAACTTTCTGGACGAAAATCAGAGTAACTCATTCCATAGTGAAGAACAGATAAAGTTTGAAACTGTCAGATGGATAGTGAAGCCCCTTTTCATCATGTCACAGTGCAGGCAAACTCCTATAGCCCAGAGTTCTTCCTGTTCAAAGTCCCAGCTGTCACCAAGTACACAAAGAACTATTTAGCAGCCAGCCCTTCAAGTAGCATCACAGTTTAGCATCAGCATGACACTGCTGGGATCTGTGACAGCACGCAAACCGATCTGTCCATAAATAATAAATACGTTTGGTTTTCACCTACCGCTTCTAAAATGTCTGCCTGGCCCCCTTGGAAACTGTCAGGCAAACTTTCGGCTGAAGCCCCCAGACATCTGTATCACATCACATGAGTAATTAACGCACTATCAAAGCCGCACGGTATCCCACTTGGTTTGAGCAATGCACCCGTCTGCTCTGAGGTGCCTTCGCATTATGGCTCAGAGTTTCCTGTTGAGAGTTTGCAGTATGTCTGAGTGTGTGTGTGAGTGTGGTTGTGTGTATCCTTGCATGTGTGTGTGTGTGTGTGAGTGTGTGTCAGAGCACCAGTGAGACACTTTGACTGGGTGGGATAGTAAATCTCCACCTCCCTTTGGTAACAGACTGGGCCCCCTTTGGAAACACCCCCCCCCCCACTCTCTCCTCTCACTTGGAGGCACCGCCTGCTGACAGTCATCTCCAAGGCACTGCAGCACACACACACACACACATATACATACATGTTCACACACACATCCGCAGGGGCATCTGGGAGCCCGACGGCCCCCCTTCGATCTGCCCTTTTCCCTTAAACCCTCCTACCTTCTCCTCCAGGCCCACTCACATTCTGTTTTCTATACATTACATGCAACTGTTTCCCACACGAGAGGCAGCAGAGGTTTGATCGGAAGGAGGACGACATGAGGCAGTCAAGTGTCCATGTTGTTATGTTGTGCTTCTTTTATTTTAGATGGGAGGGGAGGACCGAGACGGGAAGCAGGAGCAAACCATCAGTAGGTCTTTGCTTTTACAGACCATCCACTGCGTGGGTGGTCGAAGTGCATCACGCTCTCTCTTACGGCTGCTGAAGTTCTGATTCAGTAATGGGCTGTGAAGGGATGATAGAGCATCCCTTTAAATGACCAGATATACATTATCATTGTGAAAAATCCCAACACTAACAAAACACACTTAAAAATCGACACGTCCCTGACAGCTCAATGCTCCTTGAGATGACAAAATGCCAGAGTGAGAAGAGAAGACGGTCGAGTGTCAGGAGAGAGGAGTGCTTCTGCATCACTGTCCATTATGGATTCCAAAATGGAACATTAATCACGATGTGCACTAAGAGCAGGAAGAAGACCATCAGAGCCGCTCATCCTCGATCTTTACCACCGACAAAGAGCCGACGCAGCAGCTGCTTAAAGGGGAAAACCACTCAATTAAGATATTCATGTTCTATTCCTGGTACGTCTGACAGAAAACATATTTGTTGAGGAAAAAAATCTCTTCTGATTACATCAAACTAACGAAATGATAAAGTAACCTACATCAATGAAATTAAAGTAGAAAAGAACATTTATAGACTGCGACATTTATGGACTGGGACATTTATAGACCGGGACATTTATGGACTGGGACTTTTATGGACTGGGACATTTATGTGATGTCGGTAATCTCTGGTAGGAACGTGTTATCTCCTGTTTCTGTACAGTAAGTATATTTGTAAATGTGGGCTTTTTAGAAAATACAAAAACTAATATATGTAGAAGTACTAAAGTGAGCCTATGTTATTTCTTTATTCGTATATATGCAAAAACGTTAATAAACTTTAAACATTAATATAAAGTAGTAAGGGGTAGATTTATTTATAAGATGCTGCCAAAATCAGATTTTTATCATTGATCATCATTATATAAATGTTGTTAAAGGTGAATAATACAATAAAGAAAATTCATAAACTTGAAAATAATTATTTTTCCATTTTCCATTTTAAAGTTTAGTTATTTTAACAGAAATGTTCAAAACAAATGTACATCTATGTAACATAACATACATTTAATGCATATACATTTTACATAAAGCAGTGCCATGCCCGGTGATTTATTTTTTTATCGAACTTTAAATTAATCTGAAAATAAAGGTTGAGTGTCGATTCATTTGCAGGTTCTTTCTCCGCAGTGTGACTTAATTGGGTAATGCCAATATTTACAGCCGTTTAAAATTAAAGGGATCATGTTTTCTTTAATTGTAGTCATGAATATATTCATGGCTTCTGAATTACTTATGGTCAGCAGTGGCGAATATTTAATTTATTGGAACGTGATTTGCTGACGGCATCTGATTTTCTTACCCCCCCCTTTTTTTTATCTCCAAAGTCCCTTGATTGTTGGCAGCTTCGATGACATTTTAACTTTTGAGGGGGTAGTGGAGCCTTTGTTAGTAAATCCATTAATGTATAAATGATGAAACCTTTACCTGCTCCCAGTTGCTTTGGCTTTCATGTTGTTGTTGTGTTGTTGTTTGGATCGTAATCAGGTATTAATGCCATTCTGTCTGAACTCAAAGATGGCAGGCTGCCTGGTAATTCATATGCTTGTTCTCTGATGGCATCTGTCGAAGTGTGCTCTCTGCATATTGGTACATACCCTATGGGAAATTTCAATCCAGCCCCAGACTGAGTGGGATGTAAGCAATTTCTTAACTGGGACACTTGCACGAAAACAGAAAGAACAGAGAGGAAAAGATACAGGGAGAAAGAGGAGGAGAGAGTGAGAGAGAGAAAGAGAGAAAGAGAGAGAGAGAGAGAGGGGAGGGAAGAAATAAGTTTGAGGCCAATTCTACTGTGACAAGCAGTGACAGAGTGAAGAGGGCTCAGTATACCGCCTGGCTTTATTAATTTGGGACATATGGTTCACACAAACAAAAAAAAGTTCCAGCACGAGAGCAAAAGTAACGTGAATTGTGATGGCGGCATTTTCATAATAGCCTGATTAGTGCCAGCGCCTGACTTCATCTGAAATTAATCAATATAATATTAACAGACGCCTTTAATTAGAAGGAGGGAAACTTTGTCAGAGCATCGATGATGATATCTGATGAAAAGAGCCTGTGGAGAAGTCGGTGTTCTCCAGAAGAAAACAATCGTTGTTAAGTTCCTGCGACTTTTTTTTTCTCACTCGGGCCTCAAGCTGTTTGAAGGTGTATGTTTAACTGTGACTGACAGAAAAGGCTAAGAGGAGATGTTACCAGTATAATTATGGGAATCTTCAAT